GGGGAAAAGAGACCACCCCCCTCCTCTCTGCACCTTCCTTTCAGGTAGCTGTAGAGAGCGATCAGGCCCCCCCTGAGCCTCCTCTTCTCCAGGCTGGACAACCCCAGCGCCCTCACCCGCTCCTCATGGACTTCTCCAGACCCTTCCCCAGCTCTGTTGCCTTTCTCTGGACACGCTCCAGTACCTCAGTGTTTTTCTTGCAGTGAGGGGCCCAAAACTGAACACAGGATTTGAGGTGCAGCCTCACCAGTGCCCAGTACAGGGAGACAGTCCCCCTGGTCCCACTGACCACGCCATTCCCGATACAAATACCTTAATTTCTTGTAGTTTGGAAATTGAAAACCAGTCTGTTTTTTGGGAAACTATCAAAGAATTTTGAGGGTAACAAATACAAATCAGAATTATATGTAGTGGAGTCCTATTATATGCAAATGATACTGATGTACAAAGTGCTAATTATACTGTGGCTGATATCTTCCAGTAAAGGGCTTTCTTTTCTCCTGTACTCGCAACCTATAATCATAGAATCATAGAATGGAAGAATGGGTTGGAAGGCACCTTACAGATCATCTAGTTCCAACCCCCCTGCCATGGGCAGGGACACCTTCCCCTAGACCAGGTTGCTCAGAGCCACATCCAGCCTGGCCTTGAATTATTGAATAATTAATATACTATTTGTGGTCTTTCTCCATGCATTCTGTATGGAGAAGTCTTTTGAGCCGAGTAACACATCCGTCTGTGGACGAGGCTGTCCATCAGAGGAAGAAAAGCAAATTACAACTGACAGAAAGTGAAGAGGTGAAAAGCTGGAGGAAGGTGGCAGTCAAAGCCCAGAGTCCCACCAAGAGCACAAATACATCAGTGCCAGGAGATGTGAATCTAAGTCAGCTTATTGCCACAATCACAGATACTGCTGATGTTACAGCTCCCAAGTTTAGTCTTGCCTGTACGTGTGAAATAGAGAGATTTGGTGGGGAAGACTGCACCACATCATTAAACTGAGGGAATAAACTCTCATAATGTAGCAGTTATTTCTAATTATGGGAAGAGTAAATTATATCCATGCTACCGTTTAACTACACAGCTCTCTGCTGTTTGCTCCGAATGCCAGTTGTAATGACTAGACTTTATTATACTGTAATTAGTAAAGACGTATTTTTATTTCAGTACCATTAACCTTCAGAAATCCATCATTATAGTATTTTACCAAGAAAAGCATGTATCAAAGTCATGGAGTCACAACCTGCAGGAAGCAGAAGTTACCTCTGTATTGCTGCGTTTCTTCCAGTACAGTATTCTGTAATTCCACGAGCCGTAATACTGTTTTAGAGGCCAATTGTCATGTTCAGCGAAAGGGCCTACAAAATCCACATGCAGGGACCCGGACTCTGACTTCACTTTTACGTCGGGTGGCCCAATGACTGCTATATATTAGAATAGTGGAAGAGAAGAAATAATGGAATTCAGTTTCACATTGTTTTCAATTTGACATTTTTACACAGCCTATTGTAAAGGAATTTCTCATAGTCTCTAGTGTAGGTTTAGATATGGGGTTTGGGGTCTTGTAAAAAGTGCACAAATACTGCTCAGCAGGCTTAGAATGTTTGTTCCCAACCTGCTCCTTGTACAGACCCACCCAAGGCTGGTTAAAACCCAGTCAAGCTAATCATGTAGAGACGGTTTTAACAAAGAGTGATTAATTAATTAAGCACAGGTGCTTTGCTAGACAAAAGGAAGCTAATGGGTAGAAACTGTTTGCTTTAGTTAAACCCTTAATAGTACATCTTGAAGTCTGTCCCAGAATTGTGCAAGCCAGAAACGGCAGAGAAGTGATTACAGAGAGGGCGACCTGAAGAAGACCCTGAAACTGCAACAGGAATTGGAACCAGAAAAGAAGAATGCAGCTGAGACAGGGATTGTAATGGTCTTTGATAAACGATGAACTTTGGGGACCGAAAGGCTGAGTGGAAATACACAAAGACTTCGGACCTTATGCAATGGGTATTGACTGAATGGTATATAAACTGTGGGAGAGCTTGGGCCTTTTGCCATGCACTGAGGTGGTGGCCCAACTCTGAGTTGTTAGTAAAGCAAACCTAGTGGTACCCATGCCTGGCATGAATTTCCTCGAATGCCTATGACAATTCACATTTGAAATAATTTTAACTATTAGAAGAAAGCAATTTCCTTTCATGGGTCAGGCATAAATACATCTTTTCCTTATAGAACTGGTCTTGAAAGGGATTTATTTTTGCGGTTAAACAGCAGATACTATTGCACACTACATTTTCCATACGCTAAATTAACTCAGTTCTCTCTTGTCAGCTGTGGTGATGACAGGGAGAGGAAGGACTATTTCTGTAGGTTATTACTCACTTCTCTTTCTGGACCAAGCTGTTGCAACATCTGTCTTTTCTGAGGAGACCCTCGAGCCAAGTGTTTTAATGTTTCTTTAATTGTGATCACCTTGAAAAACGGAAACATTTGAATTCTTTCTGCATGTCTTAAAGATTGAGCTCCTTGGACTGAATGTTACGTTCTTGTATTTTGAAAATGGCTTGTCCTTACTATGTTTTTGTGCCACTATCTAAATTACTTCATGAGTAGCTTTGTTATCAACCACACTGTGTCTGCAAGAAGCTCTCCATTAAAGTCTGAAGTTTCAACAAACAACTCTGCCATGGCTGCCTCTGCTAAAGTTCTGCCTGGCTACAGCTGCACTATCAAGCGGCTAAGAAGGAAAGAGCTCAACATACAGACAATTTTGCATTCCTCTAGAAATACAAATTTCGTTAATTAAAAAAAATAATTAAAACCTCTGCTTGCTGGACCATGTATTCATGTAATGTTCATGAATATGTTGTTGAACTTGCAAAAAATAATGTGAGGAGGGTCTTGGTTACTCTGGTTTTCTTAGGCTATTCCTGCAATAGTGTGTGAAGTTTCTTACAAAAGCACTAGCAGAAATAAAAATATCTGATATTCCCTTCTGTGTTGTTATCATGATGCCCAGCTCAGATCAGTGGTGACAACATTAAAAATCCTCACGTCCTCCTCAGAGATTTGTTCAGTTCTCCCAGGTCTTTCTTTCCAGGTAGTTTTATACCCAGACTTTCTCAGTCCAGGAATAAGCTGCTTTTCCAAAGCCAAGCCTGCTCTTTCAAATATTTCTGAAAACTACAACTCTGTTAATGATTTACAAGTTTGCTCTCTGCTCTAAAAAAAAACACCCATACTTTTTGTATTACACTTTCTTTTGGCTGTAATTTATACTTGTGATGTTGTATTTTTTCTCCCATGCTATGTTTTGGTGCTTCTGTTCTACGTAGGTTAAATTTTATCAATAGTATGCTTTTGGAGAGAGATAGCTTTTTGAAAAGAAAGGTTGTAAACTGTAAAATTACACTCTGAAATCCAAGGAACAGAATGATGAAACTCAAGCAAACGAAGGCAGAAGAAGAAAGAAAACGATTTTAAAAAGTTTTTCTCAAAGGTGAGGTGTAACCGACGCTTCTGGCATGGTTTTGTATTAACAGCTGGAGGAGAAAAAAGCCTTGTGTAGCATTAACTACATAATCTAAAATAATTTCATTTCTGCTAATGAGTGGTTTAAGAATGTACAAAATAAAGGATGCTCGCTGGTAAAAACCACTCCCTCATTCCCAAGCTCAGGTGACAGCAACATGAATAACATCTCTGCTGTGCGCTCTAATGCAAGGCAGTGTCTAAATCATCTCCCAGAACAGAGACTGCAAAGCTTCGCTGAGGGAATGGCAATATTGTGCAATGAAGATTTCTTGACTGAAAATTAGACTTTCTCTGTGAAACTTTTATTTTCTAATTGAAAAAAAAAGAAAGCTTTTTCCCTGATATAGCAATGAAGAAGAAAGTAATTGAACTTGGTTAGATATAGAATCACAGAATGGTTTGGGTTGGAAGGGCCCTTAAAGACCATCTAGTCCCAACCCCCATGCCATGGGCAGGGACACCTTCCACTAGACCAGGTTGCTCAAAGCCTCATCCAGCCTGGCCTTGAACACTTCCAGGGATGGGGCATCCACAGCTTCTCTGGGCAACCTGTTCCAGTGTCTCACCACCCTCTCCATGAAGAACTTCTTTCTGATATCCATTCTGAATCTTCCCCATTTCAGTTTAAACCCATTGCCCTTTGTTCTGTCGCTATTTGTAAAAAGTCCCCCCTCCCAGCTTTCTTGTAGCCCCTTCAGGCACTGGAAGGTGCTATAAGGTCTCCATGGAGCCTTCTCTTCTCCAGGCTGAACAAGCCCAACCCTCTCAGCCTTTCCAATTGACTCAGCCTCATACACAGGAAGTCTGTATATAAACTCTCCCTGGCTGAAAAATATAAACAATCCTGATTTTAAGAGAAAAATATACAGTTACTAAAACCTCCTCAAAAGAGGTCTCAAGTACCAATACTAGCATCTAGCTGTAACAGTGAACCCACTATGCTTTCTGACAGTAACTTCTGCTTTCAAAAAATGAAAGCGTTGCAACTAAGATTTTGTAAGTTCAACGTAACTGAATTTTAAAAAGATTCACATGCTATAGCTTTTCTTACAGAGCCAAAGTGTAAAGGTGCATTAATAGCAGACAATAACTTCTGTGGAAGATTAGAAAAAGGCTTACTGTCATCCATTGGCTTAAACCTGACGGTCACCCAGTCTGAATGGTCATTTTCTGATTCTGCTCTGACCCGTAAAATGTAGTCTCCATACGCAGACAGAGAAGAGACATTACACTCTGTGAGTCTCAAGTTTGTGCTCACGTTTCTGTATGTGTCTCCAGGTACGATGACACTGTATGGAAAAGAAATGAAATTTATATGATGGGTAAATTATAACTGACTGAATGTCTTTCCTCTCAATTAACTGGAAAAGTGGCATATCTGCTTGTTAATACAATCAATTATGACTCACAAATCACTAAAATTAGATCAAGCGTATAAGAAACACCATTACTAGTTTGTACACACACATTAAGCATTTTATAAGCATCTATAAATCTGTGACAAAGTTAGAGATTAAAATTACAATTCAGAAAATAGATGCCCTTTTCTTGACAGTGGTTACAAACCTTGACTCAACAGACTAGTTATTAGACAAGTCTGCAAATATGAGACAGTATCGCTACACACGGCTTTGCTGTGTAACTCGGACTTTGCTCAGAACTAAGATATGCATATAAGGAAAAGCCAGAGAAAACAGAGCCTGACAGCTGACTGGGAACCATTTAACATAGGATATTCTTTCTGTTTTGCACCAAAAGCCCACCTAGCAACATAGCAACCAACAGGTAATTGCTACCAGAACCTAGAAAAATCTTTCAACTAAGATGGCCCATACGCTTGGTTTGGGGATCTCTCCTCAGCAGGCACCTGCCCGTGGGTGCCATCATCTCCGCTTCATATCCCACCCTGTCTTGGCCAAAGAATTCAACCCTCAGCAGGACCGCGAGACCTGTGGCCCGACACGTGGTTTCCTCACCCAGCAGGGAGCCCACAGCTGGGCCGGGGAAGCGGCTGCCTTCCTCGGTACAGACTGCTTTTCCCAACAGGAAATACCAGCTCGGAAGGACATTGTGACAAAACCAAATCAAAGCTAAATCAACCCACCAAAACCGACAAAAGGAGACCTCAGGAAATGTGTCCGGAGTTGAAGGCCCTGCATGGACAAGCCACCTGCCCGCAGTCCGTCGGGCATTTCTGCTACATGCGCAGGCAAGCCGGCCGCCTTGGTGGCAGCACAACAGGCTGCTAGCGTGAAAGATCAGGGACGGTCCTAATGCTCAACAGGACCAAGTTCTTGAATCGCAGGTGACAGCAATGTGACACAAAAAGAACACAAACAGAGCTAAAACCAGCCAACATTAAAATGTGTTTCTGTTTCCAAAAATAATATGTACATGGCTGCCGTGGGTGTGAAAAGTGTAGGAAATGCCTCTGCCCTGCTATTTTGCTCAGAAGACAAGCCGCTCACAAGCTAAAAGAAAGGGACATCTACTGATCTTCCTATAAAAAGGGGAAACAAACCACAAACACACAGAGCTGTAAAATGTAAATTAAAGCAAGCACAACTCCCCTGCACTTACCTCTTAGATTGGACAGTGTAATTTATGTTCCCTTCGTGGAACTTAGGTGCATCCCACTGTAAAACGCTACGAAGATTAACTGAAACAATTCTTGCATTTCGGGGTTTTGGCACCATTCCAAATACTGTGGGAACAATCAAAAATAAACAAGCATTTTAGCACGCCTTCCTCCAATGGCTTAGTAATTAAGAACTTAAATACAGCCTTCTTTCTCCCCCTTGCCTCACTTTATTTTTTAAAACCAGACTTTAATTACATTAATTTAAATCCTAATGCCTATAGTTCCTTCTGAGCTTATGCAACAAAAACAAATTAGCCAGCATCGGTGGTTTCCAGTAAGTAGAGTATGATGTCGTCATTTATTATGCGTGACTGACTTGTTACTGCCTCAGACGTAGGGCCCATCAGGCTACACGCGTGAACTCTCAACAAGACTGTCAAAATCCACTTTTTCCAAGTAGTGCCCCAGTAGCACTACAGAAACAACACGGGTGTATGGATTGGTGCCTTGAAACCAAAGAGGCTGGTTCCTTTTTCCTGAAAAGGAACATCAACAGTCTTTTGATACAGACCTGGGCATAAGGCTGAAATAATTAAAAAAATCCACTGTAGGCATGTTTTTATCATCACTGCATGGATTAGCGTTGCCATTTAACGTGCTTCACTCACTCTGTGCTGAAACCACCCTTTCGAAAAATAGAGATAAGCAAGAACAACATTGGAAGGCAGGAGAGCTGTTAAATATCCCATATGGATGAACATCTCATTAACTGGCGCTCTTTACAAGTGATAAAAACACAATCCTTTGCTTTACTGAAATTGAATAAAGGATACACCTAAGGTAGAATTGATGAACAGTCCATTACTATTATTACTATTGCAGCCCTGAGGAGAAGGACT